GGGATTACCTGCCATATCCAGGGTAACCCAGTTAGCATACTATGGCTTGCAGGCTGCCTGGCCTAGGTAGTCCACATCCTAAAAGTCTTCTCTTTGGCAGAGAGGTGAAGTATAGGTGTCACCTGAGCTTTCCCATCTATTCCCAAAAAGCATACTTGAGCCTTTAGAATTTGGGTACTCGAACTGTTAAGGAGGAGTTAGCAGTTCTAATGGCTGATACACTTTCCCTAAAGGTTTCTGGAGCCAGACCTCATTGCTGCCATTCTTCATTGAATACTGGGCTGTCTACCCTCTTCTTCAGCTTGTGGTCACCCAAGAGGTTATTCACTCATTCTGGACAAGGACAGTTCTCTCTCCTCTTGGTCCTTGGCCAAGTTCATGCCTTGGAATCCCTTTGTTCCCCAACAGAAGCAAGGATACCTGTCTCTGCAGGACTGTGAGAATGTCAGGCACTCCCTAGGTGCCCATATGGGATGGTAGCAGGAAGGTAGCAACTACAGTGCTAAAGCAGGGTGATAAAGATGAACAGTCTGTACCTTACCTTGGCTGACCATTTCATTGCTTCCCATCTTCTGAAGGAGACGGACTGTCCTCCCAATTGGCTTGCCAACTGCTAACAGATCTAGGAAAGGAACGTGTCTCAAATGGATGGGGAACACCTTTGGCAGGCCTCTGGGGAGGGGCCCAGAAGGAGTTGAGACAGGCTCAGGTGCCCACTCACTTTCCCACAGGACACTGGCCCGCAGCGCATTGTCCTGAATCCGTGTGGGCCATTGGTTGGCTACGATGCTCCGGACCCCCACCAGGCTCAGGAAGATGGCAGTCTCAGTGGGCTTCTTCAAGGACTGCTGCAATAAACTGTGGGGATCCAGCACCCATGGGCTGGCACCAAGGGGCTTGGGATGAGCCGGCCCCTTCTACCTACATCCCAAACTGCACTGGCTGCTGGAATGCATGTCTGGCCTGATGCTTTTACAGTTCAAAAACAAACTTAGCCACAAAGCTATGTGCAACTTAATAAGAAACAGCATTTTTGAGTGCTGTCAAATACACCTGGCAGGTTCTAGCCCTAAGATGGAGTCTGCAGGGAAAGCTGGCACGATGACGGTGGGACCTGCACAGCCACCTCTGGTAGAGCTCATGACCCCCGTGGGGTGTGGTGGGGAGCTCTGAAGCTGAGGTGACCTCTCCATTGCTGCCCCTCTGTCTCCTAGCCTAGCCCAGTACCCCGCTCAAGCAGACCCAAAAGCTCCAGCCAGGCCCACAAACTCCTGCATTGCTATAGCAGCCCCTCAGGGTCTTTACGGACCCAGGCCCCACCCCCTCCAGGCCTCACCCCACTCGACGCTTTCCAATCCTTGTTGACCCAGGCCCTGCCCTCTGCACCCCTTCCAGGTCCTCATGACCCAGGGGCATTGCCCCCCCCCCCAGGCCTTTGCCCTGAGCACATAGCCTTGCTCCTCATGGGACCCTTCCTGTGAGGCGGCTGGAACACTGTCCCTGCTGGCCCCGCACTCCCCACTGGGCTCACAGGCTACTCTTCCTCCAGGTACCTCTTGCTGTCTGAGGTCTTCATCTGCCGCTGCAGGCTCTCATAGGAGCGCATCAGGTCAAGCAGGACCATCATCTGGCACTCTGCAGGATACCACAAGGGCCAGCTCAGCAGCTGTTGCCCTGTGCACCGGGGTGCCATGGGGAACATGGAAACACCGACCAATCAGACTTGGCACACCACAGCCTCTTTTCAACTGCCCCACCTCGCTGGGAAGCTTATGGCATTCCTTGAGGAGGGAAATGAGGTTCATTTGGGGAGGGTGAGCTGGCCACAGAAGGGGGCCAGCTGGAGTCACTGTATCCCTCGTGGGCTACTGGAGTGGTTGGACTGTTGACCAAACACCCTTGGTTTCTGGGTGAATGAGGGTTTCTGAGATGTGAGGGCAGTTCTGAGCACATAAAGCTTGGTTACCCAACTAGGTATGCCCACTGAAACAGGTTCCAGAGTTCAAAATGTGCCTAGAGTCCAAAATGACTACAGGAGCCCCTACAGATACACGGGGAATGGCTGCCCAACCAACAAGAGGCCTGGCTGAGATGGGCTTCAGGCCATTCTCATGGTTAGGAGGTCCAGCCATATAAGGACAGGTCTAGTGGGGATAGCAAGCACCTGTGCTTTCTCCTACTTCATCCACCATCTCCCTTGAAATTAACCTTGTAAAGAGACCCTGATTCTACCTATGCCTGGTTTCTAGGTGCTTTATCAGTAAGTAAGAGACTGTGGCCCCAACCATCCCAACACCTGAGCCTCACTTTCTGGGTCTAGAAATCCAAAGTGGAGACCTCTGAGAAACAGAGAAGGCCAGAGGATGGGGTGAGGGTGGGAATTGTGCCTCCCTAAAGCAACTCAGGCTTTGGTGCTTTTATCAGATGGTGATGGGCCTGCTTTGCCTCCCGATGGATTTTCCTTGCACCCAGGATTCTGGTGAAGTCTGGCTATGGAGAGAGGGGTATTACCTTGCAGATTCATGGCAACCAGTCTTTCCAGCAATATATGTGACAGGAAGCTCTCCATTCCATAGAAGAAGAAGCCTTTGCAGCTGCCCAGCACCTGCTCCCACTCAGCCTGGCTGCATGGGGTTGAAAGGCAGCAGATGATGTACCTCCTCAGGATGCATTCTTAAATCAAATGTCCCCATGCATCTCCATGCCACCCCAAATCCTGCCCTGGAACCCAGCCTATTTTTATTGCCCGCAGTCGGCCTCTCTCTGATGGATTCTCCTCAAGAACAGACTTCTCTCCAGGAATAAACACACATCTCATTGGATGGCACTGGCTCTGGAAATACTAGGAGGGGCTTCCCTGAAAGCCAAGCACAATAAAATTCTGGAGGCACCAACAAGAACCTCTGATGTAGGAGATGGTGACCAGACTGGGGTCCCTACCTTTCATATTCCACCCTCAGCAACCCTACACTGCACACACCCTACAGATGCCTTCCCCTGTGTACCCCATCCCAGGACATGCCTCTCCAAGCCCACCCACACCAAGGACAGGGATGTACATGGGGGCCTGTGTCACGGAGCGGCCTGTCTCCCCTGTCTGCAGCCCTTCCTCTTGACTGAGCACTCATGAGTGTGTCTGGACTTGGACTCAGATTCTGTGGAAACTTGAGGTCATCTAGCAGAAGACTGTGCTGGTGAACTCTGTCCTATTATGTGACCCTGGGGCTCTGGCCCTACCTGAAAAGTAGGGTATGAACAGCACCCTCTACCCAGTGCTGTGTCTGGGGCTTCATGGGATAGACCTGGTAGGAATGGGAAGTGGCTGTGGTGGGTGTCAGGTGCTTTCTGCACTCTAGGCACTGGTTTCAGGAAAGCTGAGTCCAAACCTTGGAAAGTGCTGACTTCCCAGATGCCCCTCCCATCGCGCGGTGAATGTTTCTCGGAATCTTTCCAAAATTTCCCGCATTACGGATACAGGAGTCAGCATTTCTGTAGGGAGAATTGGAGGGATTTAAGGCATAGCTTCATCTGCTGGAGGTGTGAGGGGATGGGGCACTGGGTCCCCTCACCCCACAGCCCACAGGGGAGGAGTCGGTGCTAGTGCAAGCAGGATGTTAGCACCCCTCCTCTTTGTGGATAGACTATTAAACCAGCTTAGGAAAAGAAAAAGAGAGCAAAATGGAAATATTTGCAGCCACAAGGGGCCAGCACTCATTTAGCTGGAGAGCCCCATAAGAGGGGCACCAGAGGCCACCTGGAGTAAATTCCACACAGCTGCAAGAGAAGCTGGTGGCATGAGTGTTAGTGTATGCTGTAGAGGGGCCGTGTGAAGCACCCACCTGTGCCCTGGGCCTCCTCCAATGGATCCACTACAACTGGGTCTTGGTCAAGGACAAACAGGAGCATGAGGTGGGAGTCTCGAGGTCACAAGTGCCTGACAAAGGATACACTTGAAGCTGTCTGAGTCGACAATGATGCAGTCTGATGGGATTATCCGGACCATGGAGCCCTATAGCAACAGACACAAGCATCAGGTGTCCTCTGTCCACGGCTGAGATGGGACGCCGACCTCTAGCTGAGCCCATGCTGGCCATTACGCTGGTGGGCTGGGCCACCAGCCTTGATAGCTCTGCCAGAGATAACAGGTGCCACCGACCCCAAGCCCCAGACCAGCCAGGACCCTCTCAGGCCCTCTGTCCACCTACCTTCATGCTCTTCTTTGCTTGACTTTTCTTTTTAAAATCTTTGCTTTTGACCTCCTTTTTCACACTTTCTTCTGCTGAAGACAATAAAATGAAGTGGGATGTGTTGGCAGTAGGTGTATGTGGTGGTTATACAACATTGTGAATGCATTAACTGGCACTGCATTGTTTACTTTAAAAGTTAATTTTATAAGTTGGGTGTGGTGAAACACACCTGTAATCCAGTATTACTTCTGGGCAGGAGGAGCAAAAGTTTGAACCCAGCCTTGACAGCTTAGTGATTTAGTGAGACCCTGTCGCCCCCATCCCCCAAGAAATTTTTGAAAAGAGCTGGGGATGTAGCTCAGTGCAAATGCCCTAGGTTTAATCTCTAGTTTGGCAAAACAAAGAAAATAGTTAATTTTATATTCTGTGAATTTCTCAAATAAATTAGCAGTGAGAATAACAGATTTTAACTTTTGTAGAGTCAAAATGGCAATAATTTTTCAAATGCAAAGGCTTGGGCTGGAATGACCTTCAAGAAAGGACCAGAAGGACCAGTCTCAAAAGACTCCCATGGGAGAGGTCCCTTGCCATCTTGGAGCCCTGCTCTGTCTGGCTCGCCATGCCCACCTGTGACCAGTGAGACGGTGAGGACCCCTCCACAAGCCCAACAGTGAGCAGCTTAGCTGCGCAGGCGCCTGGAACAACCCCCTACCCTGTGCCTCTGGCCTCCTGGCTGTGCCTCTACCTCGTTCCACACTACAGAGGCACAGGGGGGCATAAAGGCCATTGTCCTGAGCTGTAGAAGTGAGCAGCAGATAGAGGGCCTCTCTCAGGCTCCTTGATGAAAACTGAAGGCCACTGGAAAAGTGATGAGAATCTCTGCAATAAAGGCACACCAGACCACCATACTTGGTAAGTTGGAGGGATCATCATCTCCCATTGGAACCTGGACTATCTTTTCAGGAGAAAGGCAGCTGGAACCTGCATTAGAGCCTTGCAGAGTTCAGCCCTGCAGGAGGACAGGGAGCTCAACTTGGGACTTGCAGCCAGAAATTGGCCTGAATCTCAAGGATCTGTGACTGGCTTGCTGAGACTCATTGACTTATATCTGCACACTGCTGCCCACGTTGTCTATTGTGACAGCAGAGATATACCCTAAAGAAGGCCTTTCATTTTTATCTTTTGTTATTCTCAAAATTATTATTAGTATTTTTTTGCTTTTGTTTTTAATTTTAATTTTTTTCTTTTTCTACTCTTTTCAAATTTTTATTTTTCTCTTTTTTCTTTCTTTTCTCTTTTCTTTCTCTCTCTCACTCACTCCCTTGCTGTCCCACATTGTTCTTTATCTCCCTTTGTGTTCCTGTTCTGGCCCTAATTCATATTTCTTCTTTATTTTTCTTTTCTTCTCTTTTTCCTTCTCTCACCTGTCCTCTGGCCTCACTGCTAATCTTCCCCTATGCTTCTACCTACCTAACCCTCCCTCCCCAACTTCTTCTAACTCCCCATCCCGAAGGGTAAATTGGCTATATTGAAGAGTTTATGCACTATAAACATATGTTGGGTTGGTCCTCGATTTTGATTTAATTCACACAGTTAAAAGCAATAGATTAATAACTAACATAAAATGTCATTTTCTAGGATGTATTTGATGCTATGGTGTTGCTGATTGTATCACTTGGGCTAAGGTGTTGTGATTGATCTAATCAGTTGTCCTTCCTGGTATAATGAAAATGAGAGAGACTCAGAGCCATTAGAGACTCAAAACCTAAAAAGACCAGCTATATCTGGAAGATACCTCTGAGAAGCAAACATTCCATAAGGATTCTAACTACAAGCAACAAAGGTACTTACAATAAGCAAATTTGGAGTATCAACTGAGGAATTAAACCAAGGACAACACCAAAAACAAAAATGAGAAGACATTTAAGCAAGGCACAAACTCAAACTTCCACCCCACAAGAGGGAAATTCTGGGGGAAACGAGGTGGAAAAGTCTGATAATCAACCACTGGGACATCCTGAACTGATAGCACAGGAAGTAGCAAAACAGTTGAATGAGGCTCTAGAAAAATTCAAAGCAGAAATAATCTCCCAGATAACTACAGAGATGGTGAGCAGAGTGAAAGACATGATTAGGGGCTCTAGAACAGAAACAGATAAAAAAATAGATGAGCTCAGAAACATGCTGGAAGCCATGAATACCCACCATAAGAAAGAAATGGAAGCCATGATCACCCAACATAAAAAAGAAATGGAATCCATGAAACAGATTCAAACAGATATCCAGGAGATTAAAAACTCCATTGAAAGTATGCACATCAGATTAAGGGAATGTGAAGATAGAATATCAGATATAGAAGACAGGATTGCAGTTAATGACTATGAAAACAGAGATTTCTTAAAAATAGTAAGGGACCATGAGAAATCAATCCAGCAACTGCTAGATGATGCAAAGAAGAATAACACAAGACTGATAGGAGTCCACGAAAAAACAGGAGAAAGTACAATTGACATAAAAAAACTGTTCACAGAAGTAATAGTAGAAAAGTTCCCAGACAGAGGTAGAGAATTGGACATACAGATAAGTGAGGCATATAGAACTCCAATTAGCCACAAGCAAAAAAAATCTACACCTAGATATATAATGGTCAAGATCCCAGAAACCCAACAGAAGAACAAAATGCTGCAAGCAGTTAGAGAAAAGAAACAAATCACCTACAAAGGAAAGTCCATCAGAACCACAGCAGACTTCTCAACATAAACCCTCAAGTCAAGAAGAGCCTGGAGTGAAGTATTCTAAGCCATAAAAGAAAATTACTTCCAACCTAGACTGTTGTATCCTGCAAAATTATCTTTCAAAATTGATGGGGAAATTAGATACTTTCATGGCAAAGAACACCTGAGAAATTTCATGAACACCAAACCAGCACTCCAAACAATTTTATGCAATATCCTAGAAAAAGACAATGAAGATCACAACTCCATGAGGCCCAACAGAGGGAAGCCACCAGGCAAGGTAAGAAACTAAAGGGAAAGGGGGAAAAATAAGAAATAAAAGAGCCAACAAGAGTAAAACATCATGACAAGGATGAGTCAATATCTATCAATTATAAACATCAAGGTTAATGGCCTCAATTCACCAATCAAAAGAAATAGACTGGCAGAATGGATTAAGAGGCAAAATCCAACAATATGCTGTATACAAGAAACACACCTAACTCAAAAAGAAATTCATAAACTGAAAGTAAAAGGATGGAAAACAGGTCTCCACGTGACAGGAACCCAGAAAAAAAAGCAGGGGTAGAAATCTTATTTGTAGGCAAAGTAGATTTCAAACCAAAACTAATTAAGAGAGACAAAGATGGTCACTACATCCTTATGAAGGGAACAATCCAAGAGGAAGAGATGACAATCATAAATATATATGCACCAAATAGGAATACCCCCAACTATACAAAACAAATATTAATGGACATGAAAAACCAAATAAGCATTAATACAATTGTAGTGGGGGACTGCAATACCCCACTGTCACAAATAGATAGATCATCTAGACAAAAAATTAGCAATGAAGTTCTAGAACTGAACCAAGCTATTGAACAAATTGACTTAATAGATGTTTACAGAGTGTTCCACCTCACAAAATCAGAATACACATTCTTTTCAGCTGCACATAGGTCATTCTCCAAAATAGACTGCATGCTAGCTCATAGGACATGTCTAAGTAAATATAAAAGAATTGAAGTTATCCCCTGTATATTATCAGACCATAGTGCAATAAAATTGGAGATCAATAACATAAGAAACCACAAAACCCCCATAAACACATGGAAATTGAATAACCCCCTCCTAAACAACCAATGGGTCACAGGGGAAATTAAAGAAGAAATTAGACAGTTTCTACAAGTAAATGATAATGCCAGTACAACATACAAGAATCTATGGGACACAATGAAGCAGTTCAAGGTGGGAAATTCATAGCAGTGAATGCCCACATTAGGAAAACAGAGAGAACACAGATAAATAACCTAATGCAGAACCTCAGGCTCCTAGAAAAAGAAGAGCCTAACAAACCGAAAGCTTGTACAAGA